ACAGATTGTGACAAACCAACGGCTTCACATACCACAGCTGTTTATGGATTAAATGGATACATAGGATGAGAAATGAAATAGCTTAGTTTAGCTTGCATCATAGTCCAAAAAAGAATAAGAAGACAGCAAAAAATTAATGGTCTATGACTTCTAAACCCCTGGGTTTATTTCAGAAACAACTGTTTAAAAATCAAGGTCATCTTAAACATCTAAAAATGATCTAATTAAATAAAGAACATAATCTAAAAATGATATGCTATAAGCACTACCAGTATAAAAATGATAAAGTTAGCAGTTTTGCTGTGGATATGCAGTATGTAACTCAATACTTCTCTAGACCTCAGCAAGGTCAAAATATATATCTATATTGTTTGCAGAAATTGGGGCTTTCAGCTGGGGGAAGGAACTATCACCCTGTTGGCGTTTCAGACATTTCATATTTGTGATAATGCTGGTCTGTTAAGAGGTATAAAAATTATTTGCATGCAAAAAATCTCTTTGCTTTCTGCACAGTCATCTGCTCTTTGGTGTCCATAGAGCAACAGCAGGTTCCTGTGGAGGTGTGAGGTTTTGGGGGCAGGGTGCTGTGAATAGATTGTAATTAAATCATCGATCTTCTTGTCAGTGTCAGGCATGAACTGAAACCACCCTATCAATTTCTGTGGAGCTGTGGCTTTGACAGGAGACCAGTTCCAATGACGGATGAGAGAATCACTGCCAAATGTATTCCACTTCAAACAGTGGCACAGTCAAACTCCTTCCAACTCATACCCGCAGAACTAAAGCATTAAATATACAAATTCAGGCCTCCGTGTAGGATTGGCCTTATGTGACCCACTCTATCTCTGCCTGAAACAAAGGATCCTGATTCATAAACACTCAGAAGTCTCCAAGGCCAGTTTTCAGAGCAAAAAGAAACAAGTGTAAAACTAGATTTTCATTAAACAATGTACTGTTGAACCACTTTACATCTTCAAGGCTGGAAGTCATACTTAATAACCAAAGCTCACTTGTGACCTTCACAACTTATACTATCTGGCCAGCTTGATACATATTGTACCACTAATAAATGGGAATGGCATTGTCTTTTTTTATTTCAGAAATGCAAATTTCTTCCATATTGCAAAGGCTTCTGCTTCATTTGATACAGTTCATAGGCTAAATTAAAAATGGAGAAAAGGTGTTTCAGGAAATTTCTTCAAACCAGGCTAATCACTTCTTTTTTCGTTACAAGAGAAGAGTTTCCGCTAACTTGGAATGCTACCAAATCCTAGCCTTGAACGTAATTGTTACGGTGTTTTATCTTTGTATTTTAAACAAACTAACTGCTGACTGATAATGTAAGCTGTGCAAGCCTGAAATTGATAGGTTCTCTATTGTTTTGATCCAAGTGTTGAAGACACAAAGGCGAGGTATCATTTTTAAAATCACACCCTTCAGTGAGAAAACAAAATCTGGATCACATACTTATTACAGAGAGATGGCGAGAGCATATACCATCTGTGTTTACTATACATGTACAACACATGACTAAATCGTTGGCAGAGATATTTTGCAGTGATAAAGACCGCAAGCAACATATAACTAGTGATAATTTGTATGTAGCCTCAAGGGCCTTACCTTCTGAATTCGTACATCTATTAACCAAATAATCACTGTAACTCTGTTTTTACTTTATGGGGCCCATATATTTATAAGTGGTGGCACTGGGCACTGTAAACATGAACACGGTAATATCAGGGCAGAGAATAACAGTTTATTCCCATTTCAGTGGCGAGAAGCACAAAACACCAAAATAAAATCACCATGACACATCTGGATAATCTGTTGACAGTATTAGTTGTTTTTATGTTTTTTTAAGCTCTTGTGCTGACCAGCCATGATTCAAAATCATCTTTATAAAGATTATATAACATGTTAAACAAATTGCCAAACAAATGTCCTGTTCAGTACAGCATCTTGCATAATGTTGCAAATTTGGAATATTGCAAAAATGTGGATATTTCAAAGCTTACCAGGTGATGACTTACTAGCTACAGTAAAACAGTAATCGCTACATTTCCCTAAAATTGCACAATGAATGCAAAAAGAGTAAGAGCTTGTACAGTCTGTACTAGGTTATTTCAGTTACAACACATAAATAAAATAGTGTCTTCTACTACACTTTAGATACTGATTGTATTTTTAAACTTTCATTAAAATCAGAAAACAATTCAAAATAATATAAAAAACAACAATGATTTCACTAAATGCCTAAAAAAACTTTAATAGAAATATATCCATAGGACTAGCATAATGACTGCAATTCAGCAAAAAAAAAAATCAGAAGCCTTAATTTGCAGTAATGGTATTTTGTTTCTGACTCTGGTGGATACAAATGCCATTCAGTTTGATGAACAGGAATTTCAATATCTGGACAGGACTATAACCTAACTATAAGGAAAACGTTTTCTTTTTTTTTTGTGTCATTTGTTTTTTGGTGAAATAGGTTGAATTATTAGTAGTGAATCCCTCACGCACAGCACAAAACAAGACGACAACAGAAGACCCCCAACACCATCGCCCCGTGTCGTATCCACTTGAGTATCGCCTCCGAAATGGGCACGCGTCACACACAACTTTTGTTTTTTTTTTTAAGATACCTAATGATGCAGAGAGGGGACTGGCTGCATGATTGTGCCTTCGCTGATTACAATAGGGATAAAAAAAAACACAGCCCATGTCAGTTTCGGGGTGTGTTTAATGCGTTTGCAAGGGTTTAATGTACTGTACAAACGTTCAACCGCCACCACTTGAATGAAAGCTTAAGCAATCTTGACACAAGACAAGAGGAACCCGAAAGAAAGCACACCAGGGGTATGTGCATCTTTTCTCCTTATGTGTTATATATATATCAATCGTTTTAGATGTTTATTACGATAGGGAAATTGAATTTACGACACCTGTCCCGTATTTTCTTCCAGTTTCCGCCCACTATATTTCCCAAGGGTAGCTACGACAGAGACGGTAGGAATTTGACCGCATCAGCTGCAGCATTTGAAGACTCAGCTAACCCCTCACCGCCCCCTCCCCGACTTCCACATGTCCGCATTTCAACATTTCTTGATGTCACCCGACTGAATTAAAAAAAAACCCATCGTCGTCTCAATTTTATACAATTAAAAACTGGATTTGTGGACATTGTTGCCGGAGAAGCACTGTATGACATTGTTTCTTATTTGTGTCCCATTTAAAACTAAATAAAAACAGCAGATTGTTACCGATTTAAGATGTTTCTCACTATTTGATCATCATGCCAACCCTCATCATCATCGCACGGATAATAAAAAGAACCAAAATTACCGATATTTTTAAATGCCCCTTTGATATAGAGTAGGTCACCGCTTCAGGTGCCGGCGTTCTCTGACTCTTAGTCCTTAGTCTCTTGTCTGGGAGATACTAATTCGCGTCGCACCGACACTGTTTCGGACCTTAAATGAAGAATACAGAGGTGACTCCATTTGGTGTAAGAGTGGGACTCAAATCTATATGGGCTATGCGTCTGAAAACGGGCACGTCTTCACGGCAGTCTCTCCGGTCCCGGTTGTAAGTTAATGGATCTCTGCCGCACTTAAGAACTACTGTACTGTAGTCCCAGAACAGTTATTAACCTAGAAAAATTCAAATATGTTCTGTTTATTAATTCAGACTATGAAATAATTGGAAACAATACCTTGGGCGGGATTTTAAAAACATGAAAAAATCATTTTCGTTCAAAACTTTATATCCTAGGCCACTGCACATAGAGCGATAAAGATATTCTAAATTCAACCTCTGTATCGTAATACTGTAAATGCCAACATTGCTAGGTTATAATAAGTTACCTTTATAGTAAAGCGCACCACGGTCTACACAGTAGGTGCCGGTCCTTCTATTTGTATTTTTTCTGTTTTTAAGTATGAATGGATTTGGGACATCATAACCTAAAGTCAAAAACACCCCTTACATCATATCTGCTGTTCTTTTAGGAGTTCTTTCAGGAATAGCTGAATATAATTTTCTAAACTCAATTTTGCAATCTGGACATCAGTGGTGTAAACAGCTAGAAATTATTATAAAATAACTGGTTGCCTACGATCAGTTTTCATCTTATTCAAAAAACAGGATTTAATTTGCCGTTAAGTTATTTTCCCCGACAGTTTTTCTCCCCAAATACTGAAGCAACTGAGCTGTAGTCGCAGGACAGGCAATTTAAATCATCAGTCTGGCAATGAAAATCACCACTATGTAACAAGTAAAATATTTTACTGAACAACCTCATTAGTAGACATCTTTAACACACAGTCAAATGTCCCATTATGTCCCTCAGTGTTACTTACAGTATATATAAGGAAACTGCATATGAATTGTCTATCGTTATATAGAGGTAGTCTAATAATGTTCTGCTGAAAATGAAACCGCAACACTATCCCACCGAGTCAGAATTTGGAAATTACGCATCCCCGCGTTGACCTGGCTATATGCGGACACTCTCAGTAAAAAAAGGAGCCATTTATTTAATACAGATACATATATATAAAAAGTCAGGGAAAGTGTTCAAGCCTTAACTTCCTGGAAGCGTGCCAAGCCGCTACTAGACAGGATGTGGTTGCTGTAGTACAGCCTCTTTCTCTATAACTGACTAAATTTAAACTAACTTTTGAGATGCTCGAACAAATATGAACATATAGCAGGCGCTCGATTTGTAACTTTTGTGAAGAATTAAAAGTTTCCATTTTTTTGTACCCTGCTCATTTACATCGCTGAAACTTTAGTCTTCACAAATATTACATTAGTCTAAGTAAACTATTTCACTCACTAACATTTTATCTAACGACAGTTTCGTCTAATCAACATATATCGTTATATGTGTAACAACTTTAATTAAAATACTCCGTCCATCCATCTGCTGTTTAAAGAAAGCCACGAACTCATTTTTATTCTCAGGAATACTTTATAAATAGATATGAAAACGTTCTTACCTGTTAAGTGGTTATATTATAGCAAGTTAATGGTCTATAATCATGGTTTAGGTCTTAAATATAAATATTTCTTAAATAAAAAGTAAAACGCCGGTAGGAAGTACCCTTGGCGAGCTCTTCTCTTTGTGATCCAAAATTTAAAACAGAAATTCAATGGTTCACTCAGCGCCTCAACGTCATCGGATGAAACACGAGTGCATGTTTCCCCACCCCCTCTTACTCACTTCCCTGTTCCTTACACAACTCGCCCGACGAGGAAAAGCTCTTGTTCACCGTAGCCATCTGTCGGGAGCTATCCGCAACCAGCCCGTTTCTAAGCTGCCGGTGGCCTTGATTAAGACACGAGTCGCCCCTGCGTCGTCTTACAGACTTTTCAATATACAGTATATACAAAGAGGTTTGGTTTCCTTTACAAATAACATCCCTCCCGGTCTTAAGCGTGCCTATGTGATGACTTGACAAAGACAAAAAGAAGGAAAAAGAAAAAGTCTTCAGAATGAAGGACATGAAGCTTGAAACTACAGTTCAGACCCCTGGTTAGTTACAAACATTGCACTATTCAAATGGGCCTTTCTTTTTTCTCCCTTGCTAAGAATGAACAGAGGCAGTCTTTTGACAGTGATTCATAGACTGACAACAAAGGACTACTGTACAGAACAAGTCAGGCACTCCCTTGAGTCCAAGTAATGAATTCATTTTAGTAAACTCAAATTTAATGGACAGAACTGCTTTGTGTAAGACGTTTGGTGACAGAGAGAATGTCCTGAGATGAAAAACAATAGTAGTAATGAGCATTATATCAGGGTTTTGTGATGTACAGAAACTACACATCTTTGGACACTGTCTTTGGAGGATAGTGTCAGCCAAATAAGGTCATAAGAAAAATGTCTGAGCGCTAATTCGTGCTTGATTTTTCTTTTGGCAACATCAGCACCTGAGAATGCAGAAGCTATTTTTTCAAAAGCAAAAGCACTCCATAATGTGCATTTCTGAAAATTTCCTTCTTTACATACTTTAAAACCATCTAGCTTCTGAATCTAGCTTTTATCACTGTGGAGTATCACTTTAAATAAACTCACTTTATTGGCCATATACAATTTCTTGTATTAGGAATTTGTCTTTTCACATACCCTAGCTTGCTCTCCATGAAATACACAAGGAGAGAAGCTTGGGGTCAGAGTGCAGGGTCAGCAATTTATACGGCACCCCTGGAGCAGCTGGGGGCTAAGGGCCTTGCTCAGGGGCCCAATGGAGTAGGATTTCTCTGCCGGCTGCGGGATTTGAACCTTCCAGCCACAGGCGGAGATCCTTAGCCACAGAGCCACCACTCTGCCCCCCAAAAGGCTCCTTTTCCCTGTACTGATGTTGTAGAGTCAGTTTTTTTTCTGCAGGTACAGTGTCCACCTATTCTGGTATCAAGTATAGCAATTTTTCTTGGGCAGTAAGCAGCTGGGAGAATAAGGGAATGTGGCAAATTTGTATATGGATAAATACAACTTCAGATAATCGTTATTCTTAAACTGATTCAAGTTTAAAAGCCTAGCCCTTTAAAACACTTCAGCGTCAAGCAGAGCGCACAGCAGAGTTCAGCTCTCTTTTCAAGCTGTGTTAAAAGTACCCGTCTTTTACTGTACATAATTTTCCATCTCACTTCTGTCTACGGTGTGCACAAAGTGAATTTCTCTTTATAATTCAAAAACACATATTTGCTCGTTCCCATGCCAACGGTCTTCCTCTTTTCATGGAGCCGAATAATTTCACAAAGCGCTTCGCTAACGCTGCCAATGCGGTCCTATTCAGATATACTTAATTTCAAGGGCTTTTGTAGTGTCTTGTTTGCCCCGACAGAAATAGTAACCTTAACCTTTGCAGATAAAGCATCCCACATTGCAGCAGTAAGATCAAAAGCCGTCCATGAATGCTGCAGTGAACTTTAATGTTGATTCCCCACACATTAAAGCTGCAACACTCCTCCCCATCCATCGGTGGCTTTGGCTTAAACCTGCAAACCAATTTCTTATGGGGAAAAAAAAAATCTCTACACTTGCAGTACCTGTTGTGACGAACTGAGAACGTGCTTATGAAAGACAGACGGCAACTGCGGTACGTTCCACCTTATTAATTTATCAACTGAAGATGCCCCTCTCCTCTGTCGAATTGACTGCGACACCATTTTATCTTAATTTTCCAGGAGGAGGAAGCACAGGTTATGCGTTCGAGGGACACAGCCTGACATACTGTTGGTATAGATTCTTCTACTCAGAGCGTTACTGTATTTTACAGTTCTACAGTGAAGAATTAAATGTGAACGGAGTTCACCTCAAACAACAAACAAGATTAATATTAGTTAATAACTAATGCCAAAAGGTCTTATGTATTCAGACAATACTCTCGCACCCAGTAGCATAATGGATCACTCGTCATCCACCACGGAAACACAAAATCTGCTTGAGCTTTGCAGAGCAGTTGGCTTTGTTATCGATCCAGGGCAACCGATAAGACAAATTTCTGTATTAATGAAGACCATTTCTTTAAATCACTGCTTTCCTCCATGAATATGATACTTATACACAACTAAATTACATTCTATATCCTAAGATGGGTTTATATACTGTAGTACTTTGCACATTCCTTTGTAATACATTGTATTCCATAGAAAATGGGCCTACAAACATTGCATAAATACTGTTGTTCTTGCTTGAATAAGAGCATTGTTTTTAACTGGACTACATAACTACACAGTCCTCCCAGGCAGACCAGACATAAATATCCACTGTCTACCATTTAAATTAAAAGCATACTTTGCATTCTCCTTACTTGGACAATGTAGGGCAGTCACATACACAAGCAAGTAAGGAAGATGTATACCAAAGTAAATGGAGACTGGTGTGAAATTATTTCTAGCCTGGTTAAGATGCCCAATTGGTCTGTTTAGAGTTCAATATACTTGCCAGTTACATCATGCTCAAGCTGAATTTGACTCAAGGGTACAATTGGTACAGTAGAAACTTGAGACTTATGCTTTTCCTGCAGAGCTTCCCTACTGAAAAAAAAAAAACAGGACAACAATTAAATCAAATTACCGATAATCTGAAAACACTGAGCTGTCACAAATTAAAATTATACAAAATAGGAAGAAATAAACACAGAGTCTGGCACCAGTGAACTTTTTAATTACAAAGAACCCACAGTGACAAAAAAAACATAGCAGGAATATGTGATACTGATAATCATGACATCTGTAATATCTCAAGATAAAAGTTTTCATTTTCTTCTTTAAAATACTGTAATCGTTATAATTTAAACGTGATGGCACAATAGGTGTGTACCTAAGAAAACTTAAACAAGTATATAAAAATATGCCATTAGATTCATATCAACAATTGAAGACTGGGAACAGTATGTACAGAAAAGGCAATATATACCAATATTTACAATACACAAAAACAACTTCTTTCACACATGGGCAGAACGGCTAATTACAGGGACGAGTTACAGTACATGATTCCTGCAAGAGAAGAGTCTATTTTGACCCAATCTGCATGGTAGTAACTTCTACTTAAGAAATGTTTTTTTGGAACAGGATAGGCAGTACAAGTTGTTTTAAAAAATAAATTTGAAAAATGTTTGAATCGAAAGCCTTTTTCTTTTCTCCATTTTGTTGAAATGTGTTTTATTCTGGAATACAAGGTCACAATTACAAATATTTTTTAAATATATTCTTGAGAACATACTTCATTACAAAGCCTATACAAATTCGTTGTTTTTAACAGCTCTGAAAGCAATGCCTTTCAGAAACGGTTAACGGTTTTTAATTGGAACACTGTTCATGTGGTAGAGAACTGAAGGCACATTCAAATATTCAGAGTTGTGTGGAACTCTACAGAAATGGTTGAAGTGTAAAATTCCTAGCAATACTGGTTTTCTCTTATTTGTACAGTGCATATAAGCATGCTTCATTAGTCAGTCCACTTCAAATATGGGTTATCTGTATAAATAAAATACCAGGCTTTTATTGAACATCTACAAAAACAAAAAATACAGGCAATTTAAGTTCCAAATTCAACCATGAACCTGATAATGTAATAATTGTTTACATGCCTCTCGGATGGGCAGAACTTGAAAAGAGGCTATTCACCTGCTTTCTGGAGGAAACTAGGTAAAATTTTGCTTGACGATACCTGACTACTGTTAAATGAACGCAGTCAATTTCCAGACCGCTAATTCTACTTGTTAACTAATTGAAAACACCAAATCTTTTCTCTTGTTCAGAATAATAGTACTTACATTACCAGACAGCTCATAACAAGATGTTTTTAATCTCAATTTAAGCATCATAAGGATGTTGACATACTATATACTGTGCAGTAACACATGAGAAAAGGGTGTGGACTGGGAATAAAGCAAAGTGTTTATTTCACACATGCTTTATAAACAAATGACCTCATTCTGGCCACGCATCACACAGACTAGTTACAAACACTTACAACTTACACCGTTTTAGCATTACAGTTTGAAAACACTTCAAATGCCATGTTTTGTCTGCACTTTACAGTTTGTACTAATCTTGCTGTTTATAATTTAGCTGAAATACATAACAGTAACTGTGTATTGGTAACTTCTATTTTTTATCAAGACTGCTACCCTCAAGTGGGTTTGTGTAATTTCCAAACCGTACTTCCAGAACGAATGTTTACTTCAGTATCCTTCAGCATGGTAGTAAGCCACAAGAGCTGCTTGTGTTCAAAACTCTGTTCAAAAACCTTCACCAATCCCTCTTTTGGTGTGAAAACCCTGACCAGTCGACTCATTTTAATCCAAAATGGGCAACAATGCAGGCAGGATCTGATGGAGTTTCTCGTCTTCCACTGTATGGTGCCGTGGCAAAATGAAAAACTAACAGGCAACAATTGTGACTACAGCAGATCAGACATTGAAAAATCACAAAAACCCTGAAATGACAACGGCACTGATTATTTCAGAGATCTAATGCAATCTTTTAGATTTGTCACCTAAACAAACTTAAACCTTCTTTGTACATTACTATCAGGTCTTATTCCACAGCCTTAATGAAGTTTCATCTGCTTCTTTCCAGAACATGCATGATTACCGACAATAAATGTAAAATGGGATAAAACAAATATGAACAATTAACTGCAGGGGTCTCCAAACCTCTTCCCTCAAACCACATCCAGCAGGTTTTACAAGTGTATATTAAATCATTAATTTCTGAAGACTTGGAACAATTCATCTATAATCTGTTGTAAGAGGTGATTTGCTACAGTATATTAAGTAATTTAGAGATCACCTGGAATAAAAATCGGAATGTCTTTCAGGACCCTCACAGACCAGAGTTCCCTCGATTGAAAAAATTACTTGATTAAATCATCAGTCATTTACAGTGTTCCTCCTCTTTACAGAAACAGGTGATTTAAAACGACCTTCAAGCCTGACTGGACTGGTTCTCTCCTTAACCGTAACTGGAGCCCTGTGATCTAACACCTTTCAAACACTTCAGCTGCAGCTCCTGAGTGAGGCGAGAGATTTCACGATGTAACTCTCAAACTAGCCACTCAACCTCAGCCCCACCTTCTGGCCCACACTAAAGAAAAATGTATAAATTAAGTGCTGTAAAAAGATAACTCAATTAAAATAAAACATAAATACTGTACAAACATGACTGGTATGGTACCATGAACAGAAAGGAATAAGATTTCTCTAGTACTGTGGTGGTCCAACAACAACAACAAATAACAATAATATAAACTTTAAAATGTAACAAAAAATAAAGTGAATAATGTGTCAGTAACTAAACTGTGGTTCTTAAGACTGAAGAGAGACACAAGCCAATTCATATCTCAACCCACAGACTAAGATATATATGTATTATATATAATCTCCTGTCAGGTACCCCAGGCCACTTATTGCACATTGGTTATTGTCTATGCTCTCTTACACTCTTCAATTAATAAAAAAAAAGGAGATTTAAAAAAAAATCTTCATTCGTAGAGACACAAATCACAGTCTGAAATTAACAGTAGTTACCACACCATCAAGAATCGATGTGTGTTGACCATTTTCCTCTATTGAAATAAAAACATTGGTCGGGCAGAATATGTGATTTTCTTCTCTTGAATTCTGCCAACGTCCTCCTTCCGTTTCTTCAGACCTTTTTGATAGTCACTTGCTACGCCTCATTTCCCCCTCTTCCCTCTTCTTTTACACTTCACCTCTCTTTAGGCTGACTATGAGCCAGCCTGTGGAAAATCAAAAATATGCTCAGTGACGCCTTCAGGAAAGAGCTGGAAGCTTCTGGCTGAAAGGCTGACCTAAAAGCAAGGGCCCAGGGGTGAAACATCTGGAGGAAGCCAGCGCGGCACTGACCGGGAGAAATCGCACTGGGGGAATTCAACAAAGAGTTCAGACGCTTATCGGTCACTTTTCTTTTTTTTTTCCCTGTTTAAAAACAATTGCTTTGCTTTTTCAAACCCCTCCTCTTGCTGCTGCTCATGAAGTTAACAGTTTCAGCACAACGACAGAGCCGGGAACAACACAAGCCGTGCGAGATAATACTTCTTACACCGAATGGAAAAAAAATTGACAAAAAAATAAACTTTTTTTTATAAGTGACCCCCACACACACACACATCCCCCCCCGCCCCCCGTGTTAAGAAACACCCATGCACAGACAGACTGGATGTCCAAGTAGAAGACGTTTAGAATTTAAAAGACGAAGTCGAAGGCGGGGAGCCAGAGGCCTGCTGCCCCTGCGGTACTGGGGAAGGGCTGTGGGCAGGTCTGACTGCAGCAAGCAGCAGGTCACAGCCTCCACAGCAGGAGGTGGTTGGTGCTGTCATCCCGGCCCACCGTCTCGCTGCTGTTGTTGAGCATGAAATCCTCATAGCCGTCACCCCCACTGATGACGAGGAGGTTGGACTTGGACTGGAGCAGGGTGGAGGCACGCCGGCGGGCAGAGTCTTGTCTCTGAAGGCCCGACCCGCCTTCTCCGCTGGTGGCCGGGTTACCTGAGGGTGGCAGAGAGCACAAATCAGCATGGCCGAAGCACACCGGCGGCAAACGTTCTGTTCCTGAAAGTATTCCCCAATAAGATACATTGAAGACCCTATTGGAGCAGTAATGGGGAACGGTTTCATGTGAACAACTAGAGTAATTTCAAGAATCTTTGGATGGCCCAGACCTCAACATCCACTGACTTAAGATAACCAAGTCGAAAAGCATACTGGCTTGATTTCTGAGCCAGTGAGGGGCTTGGAGAGAAGGCTGTGTGAATTATAATACATCCAAAATCTGAGGAGGAAAGTTTCCACCTTCTGGAGTGAAACACGAGCAATGTCGCAGAAATCGCTCCAGCCCTGACGGCCTCCACCACACCACCAGCTTCGAATATCCCTGTGTAAGACAGAGCAAGGCTCCGGCCTGTACCTTGGTCTCCAGGCAGCGGGAAGGCCACATCGAATCCCTCAGGGAGCTCGATGGAGGTGAGGAAGCGAACGTGGCCCGTGTGTCCGTGCGCCGAGCCCATGGGGACGGGAGGAGCGCGCAGGGGGCTGGTGCCGGAGGAGACGGGGGGGATGGTGAGTGTGAGCACCACCCCAGCGCTGGTGCCGATCCACAGCAGGTCCTTGCAGGCCAGCAGAGCCGTGATACGCAGGCAGGCTGCCTTGTGCTGCCGGATGATGGCGTCTGACCCTGTAAAGGAAGGCGGGAGTGGGAAGCTATTCAAAATCCTCAAGGGGTCTGAAGAAGTCCCTTGGGCTGGCATTGTCAGAATTAACAGTGGAACCTGAGCCATAGGAGACAACTAGAAACGAACATGGAAGCACACTTAAATCTGCGAGAAGGAGACTTTGGATCTAGTCAAAGGGTATTCAATCACGTTGTTTAAGTTGGATAACCTTGCTACTTTCAAGAAACAGCTGGATCAATAAGTAAATAGCTCCTAAACAGGATAGATTAGCTGAATAGCGTCCTCTAGCTTCTTAAGTTCTTCAGTGCTATCAGCTGCAGTCACACAGCCTTAAGCCCTGTTACTCCCAGTGAACACACTAGAAACTACCCCATGTTTTAGTGCAACAAATAAAGGCCCAATTCTGTGGAAACACTAGCATTGATCCATGCTAATTTTGAACAGTTTCCACTATTTACAGATCAAAAACTAAAAGCTGAACAAGGTGTATCAAAGTGGAATATGTGTACTGTAGTCTGAATTGTAGCTTCCTACCGGATCACGTTTTCATTCTGCACAGGCAGAGTGGCTCAGGCCACCTGTGTGACTACGGCTCACTGCCCAGTGTCCGGCACTCACCCGCCAACATCTTATGCACAGCAGGGGCCACGTCCACCTCCATGAGGCTCTCACAGGTGACGGCATGGTAGAGCCGGACCTGGGCGCTGCCCTGCAGGGCGATCCACACACCCTGGCCGTAGCTCACCATGCTGGTCACGCAGCGGCTACTGTCCTGCCCAATCTGGAACGTGTGCTGCAGCAAAGAAAAAAAAAAACAATAACAACCATATGCGATCAGGGGAAGATCAGTCCATGTGCGTTTAAAAACAAATGCAAAATAACTGTTCGCAAAGCTATGCCACATGGCTCGTGACTCTGGGACAAAATATTTCAAAAGTGTTTTTCTTTTTAATCAAGGTTGCAGTGAGGGAAGAAAGAAATTCCCAGCTTGATCCAGTGTCGTGCTGTGTATGGGTGTACTGTAAGCCCCTTGGGCTGTATCTAATCCTTGGCTGTGGTGTGGTGAGCCCCGTGCTGTACCTCCTGCGCCAGAGTGTTGGTGTTCAGAATGAGGATGCGGTTCTGACAGCCACACCACAGTCTCCCCGTCACCGGCACCATTTTGGTCACAGGACTCCCGGGGGTGCCCAGAGACAAAGTCTGAGAGTTCTGGGGATCCCAAAAACTGCCTGTGTGAAAGAAGACATAACCCAGCAATGAATGCCTTGCACAAAGTCTTCATACCCATTCAGAATGACACCCAGAAATCTTACGCTACATTTAATACCATCTAAGTGTCTTGAAAAAGACAAGTAATCTTACTTGTAGACAAGGCTGAATACTTTTACACCTCTTGGGGAAAAACGCCTTAGACCATGGAAATGAACGAATAAAATGAATAATTTTGATTGATATGAAGGAACAGTGGTTTTTCACAACAGCGAAAGCATATGCTTACAGGCGGACGCTGCTTTTGTTTCATTTGTTTGCTCCAAAACCAAATACGGTAAAGCTGGTCTTCCCAAGATGTGGATTTAGCAAGAACAGTCTCAAAATGATACTGGAAGTGGGATTCCTGCAGCACCTACTCAGACTCACCTGCTTCCCTTTGATAGACAATGATTTCACCGTTGGCAAGAGATACAAAAACTTTGTTGTCAAGATACCTGGAAAAAAGAGAGCTATTATTACACAAAGAAGAGTTCAGTATTTTATCTACGATTCCTTCTTAGAATGATGCAGGTTCATAATTGCTCGGACAAACACAGGTGAAACAGTGCCAGTTCTGATAACTTATTCTAATTCTGCTTGATATAGCAAATAAGCCCATATTCTAGTTCAGCACATACAGGCTTGATCAAGGCGCTCACTGCTTTCACTGCTATTATTTTAATTTTGCAATTCCTGTTACACCTGCAGCAACATTTGACAAGCGGTCAAACAAAACTGCTTGACCACATTCGCAGCTGAGATACAACCCTGAGGGCTGTACTATCCATCTCTGTTATTTTAAGGTCATCAGTCCATGACGTGTGCTCTGTTCTTACCCAACATGTGAGGAATTGCCAGCAGCAACAGCCCACACTGCTCTTTGGACAAAGTGAAATAACTGAAGTTCTACTAACGTCACATAGGAGTACACAATTTAAATTATTTCTCTTCTTCTCTTATAACGGTGTAAGTGAACACTATAACCGGCAACTTACAAGATGCACAAAATGGATGCTGAGTGCTGCATCTTCATGCTGTTCTTCCTGTTCCGAATGTTGTCCGATGACTGATATACATGAATGCTGCCAAAACATATGAAATGTTTGTTAAAGGAAATCACTGAGAATATAAAACTAGTCTTGTTTCTTTAATGATATGCTTTCAGAAACTTAACGATGCAGTTCAGATGACGAAAGTGCAATTTGTCTTTAAATATATTTCAAGGCTCTCCTGGCCTCTCTCAGGGATGCCGCGTGAGTGACCAAGCAAGGGAGTGAATAGGGTTGCTGTGCGAAGGGCCAAGCGAGGGAGCCGTGCGAGGGAGAGAACCAGGGAGCCGTGCGAGTGGAAGAGCGAGGGAGCGCACTGGGGAGCCGTGTGAGTGGCTGAGCGAGGGAGCGCACTGGGGAGCCGTGCGAGTGGCTGAGCGAGGGAGCGCACTGGGGAGCCGTGTGAGTGGCTGAGCGAGGGAGCGCACTGGGGAGCCGTGCGAGTGGCTGAGCGAGGGAGC